GAGCCCTGATACCCAGATAATCAGAGTTACTGGCAGTGCTCACTGTGTTAGTGCTGATCAGTGGAGGTTTACACACTGGAGCTTTATTGATCAGTTTAAATGGAACAATAACATTTATAGGTGTGTTTTCATTAGAACACACGCATAAAAACTAACTGAACAATGAGGCTAAAAATTAAAACAATGATGTTTAAAAACTGGTTCTGAGCTCTGATTGGCTCACAGACATTATGTCACTCTCTCTTCTGTCATGTTAAATATTTACACACCATTGATTCTGATAAGACAATAATCAATTGATTTATTGATCACTATTGGAACTGTTTCAGGTGATCTGGAGGTTCGGCGGAGAAATTCCGGGAACTTTGGCCGCCAACACGAAGCTTTCTGATTGGATCCCTCAGAACGACCTGCTGGGTACACATCGCAGCATTTCAAATTAAAGACTTCTGATCATCAACTGATATCAGACCAGATCAATCAGTTTATTGATCTATTTACTGCTATCAACATTATTTCTTAAAAAACTTCATAATCCTTTCACAATAAAAGCCCTGTGTTTCCTCACAGGTCACCCAAAGACCAGAGCGTTCGTAACCCACGGTGGCACCAACGGTCTGTACGAGGCGGTGTACCACGCCGTGCCGCTGGTCGGAGTCCCGCTGTTCGGTGATCAGCCCGATAACCTCGCCCGTCTGAGCCGCCGCGGTGCCGCCATTGTCCTCGACTTCAACCACTTGACATCTGACGAGCTGACAGAGGCGCTGCACGACGTCATCAACCAGCCGACGTGAGTGTGATGTCACAGGAAGCTTTCAATCTTTAACTTCTTTCCTTTCACAGTAAAAGCCCTGACTTCCTGCCGACTCAGAATACAAATCACAATAAAATCACACTAATGTTCAATAAAACGTGACCTGTTTTTTTCCCCATGATTCTAAGCTACAAGTCCAGCATGCAGCGTCTGTCGGCTTTGCAGCGTGACCAGCCGGTGGCCCCGCTGAGCACCGCCGTCTTCTGGGTGGAGTTTGTAATGCGACACGGCGGAGCGCGACACCTGCGGCTGGCGTCACATGACTTGAACTGGTTCCAGTATCACAGTGTGGACACTGGTGGCGCCCTACTGGTGGCCATGACAACCACCATTGCACTCTGCTGGGGGGCCGCCAGGTGCTTCCTGCGGCGCTGCAGCAGGCGGCGAAGAAGAGACAAGAACAACTGAAGATCAATACGATAACGACATTCAATTTAAGATTGATGACGTAAACAAACATGAATAAATAATTCGGGTTGTTATTGGTCATTTTATTTCCATAGAAACAAATAATCAGATTACCTTTGACAGTAATCGATTATTTTCCTCAGCTTTAATGTCATTTTTACACAGCTGATCGGTTAAAGAAACAAACAGTCAGATTTCAGATTTTATTTCTTTTATTTTGTACAAAAACAGACACAAGCTCCGCCCCCTCCATTCAGAAACAGGAAGTAAAGTTTTCACCTTTTTAACACTGAGACTCCACTGATCAGTTTGACCTGCTGCCGATCAATACACAATAAATCTGATCATCTGGACGTTTGGTCACCATGGTCCAATCAGAAGTGATTGAGCATAAAGGGGAAAAAAAAAAAAAAGTCTGACGTTTTACAGGAAGCAGATTTTTTATCGTCACCAGCAGAAAAAAGTCAAATATAAAATTAAAATAAATAAACGAACTGAAGCTGGACGAGTTTAAATTTAACAACAAAACTAAAGTTAAAAAACGTACAAAAAGGAGGTGAAACTCTTCTTCATGGGTTTTAAATTGAGTTAAAGGAGTACACAGGAAGAACTGTCCATCCTTTCACAATAAAAGAGGCAATGATGAGAGAAAAATAAAATGTTTTGTTGTTAACGTGTGACAGGTCCCTGTGCTGTGATGTCACTTCCCTTTTTACACAGGATCATCAAAATAAAAGTTTTGATTAAACTCACCAGAAATCACCAGGTTTTTTTTTTTTTTTAACAGTTTTTAAATATTTTATTCACATAAAAACTGATGATGTCATCACGTAGCTCAACAAAAAACAGGAAACAGCAACACAGCTGCTGACCATCAAAATAAAAGCCCCTGCAGGCTGACAGGATATGACATCATCAGTTCACCTGCGGTACCGCCCCCTCTCCTTGTCCCTCTCTCTCTCTCTCCCGGCGGGGTCCACCACGGTCACGTTCACGCTGCCGCTCGCGCTCACGCCGGCTGCTCACCACCGCCTGCGTCCGCCGCAGGAAGTCGTCCACACGCATGTCGTAGTCGTGCTGCATGATGGGATAAAACCAGGAGACACAAATCAATCAGATTAATCAATAAGACTACTGAGGGGGACAAAAGGTAAAATTAATAGAAACTAATCTGATCATCATCTGATTATTGATTTATTGATTAATTGATTATATTTATTGTAGTTTTGTCAGGCAGGAAGTAGAATGACTCACCGGGCTAGAGGTGAAGGCGCGGTGTTGCGGCGCTCGCTGTTTGTCTCTGAAGCGAGGAGGCGGAGCCTCATGTGGTGGCAGGGGGGGGTGGTGGT